AATATAATAATAATAAAGTAAAATAATGGAAATGCAATAATAGCAGTAATAATCGAGTAAAATAATAAATGTAATAATCGAGTAAAATAATAAATGCAACAATAATAAAGTATAATAAATGTAATAATAATAATCATAATAATAGAATAAAATACTGTAAATGTAATAAAATAATACATGAAATAAAATAATACTAATAACAGAATAAAATAATAAAAACCTTGACTCGAGTATAAGCCGAGGGGATCTTTTTCAGCCTAAAAAGGGGGGCTGAAAAACTAGGCTTATACTTGAGTATATACAGTAACTTACTAAGGACCTCATCATAATCATAGAATCATAGAATCATAAGTTGGACGAGACCTCATGGGCCATCCAGTCCAACCCCCTGCCAAGAAGAAGGAATATTGCATTCAAAGCACTCCTGACAGATGGCCATTCTTTTTAAAAGTTTCCAAAGAAGGAGCCTCCACCACACTCCAGGGCAGAGAGTTCCACTGCTGAACGGCTCTCACAGTCAGGAAGTTCTTCCTCATGTTCAGATGGAATCTCCTCTCTTGTAGTTTGAAGCCATTGTTCAAACTAGTCTCCAGGGAAGCAGAAAACAAGCTTGCTCCCTCCTCCCTATGACCCCCTCTCACATATTTATACATGGCTATCATGTCTCCTCTCTGCCTTCTCTTCTTCATGCTAAACACTTATTTATTATTTATTTATTTACAGTTCTTATATTCCGCCTTTCTCACCCCACAGGGGACTCAGGGCGGATTACAGTCAACACATATATGGCAAACATTCAATGCCAGTTTGACAACCAACGTTTTTAACAGACAAATACACCGAGGCTATTTAACTTTTTTTTTTCTGGCCGCCAGGGGAGCTGCTGCTTTTCATCATCCATCAACGACACCGATGAAGTTCTTCCGCATTCCACATTCCCCGGAGTTTTTTCTTTATGGCCTCATAAATTAGTTAAATTTAGCCTCCCACACAAGGTGGTACCTTATTTTCTTACTTGACAGATGCAACTGTCTTTCGGGTTGCAAAGGTTGACAACGGGCTACACAATGGCTGGACACTCACTCCAGCCCGGGCTGGCTTCGAACTCATGACCTTTTGGTCAGAGTGATCTTAATGCAGCTGACACTCAGCCAGCTGTGCCACAATCCCGGTGCATGCCCCCTTTCCCCCACTTCTTGGCAGGACTTCTAGAGATGCCTTCCATTTCGTGCCAGGCCTCCAACTACGAGAACTTCTCCTCATGGATTCACCACACAACATGTCAAATCCATGGACTCCCAGCAAGGCATGTGGAGAACCAGTTGCTCCATGGTCCTCATTGTGAGGCTTACCTTTGCCCCCATCTCATGGGGGGATAGTCCATCCGACCAGCTTTTTTCCATTTCTGGTAGGGCAATACAGGGAGGCTCCTGTGTTGCCACAGTGGTGACATATGCTGCTTGTTCTCTTTCTGGATGGAGCCTGGCTGGAAGTACGTGTGCGTCATATAATGCGCTCTGTCATTAAAGGGGAAAATGGGAGCTGTGTGGTGGCAGCAAGGGTATGGAGGGATGGGTGTGTTGTTCTGTGGTGTGTGCAGGGGAGGCATGTAATTTCATTGTGCAATAGCACAATGACAAATAATGCTATTCTATTCAAAGTATACAGAGGCCTGTTAATACTGAACAATCATAGTGCAGATTCTGCCATGGCTGCATCCTATGGCATCAACCTGGGGTTTGGCAGTTTAGACAGAAACAACAGAGGAAACTTCACTGGTTCTTCCCTAATACTTTTTGATATTTAATATTTTAAATTTCTACATTATAAACAATATCACAATACACTACAAATCGCAATCTAAAATCTCACCTTATTCCATTCACCTACCCTCTTTCCCCAAATCAGACATTTACAAACTAGTTTGTAAATAGTAGTATGAAGTAGTTTGGAGAATTCTTTGGATGTGGATTCTTAAACTTCCGATCTCGTTTCCAAGGGATGTTGCCAGGGAAATACAAATGTTATTATAATGCCTTAATTGTGTAGTGTGAATTGGCCTTTTAAGCCATGATGGAGGACACCAGTTTAGGAAATCACAGATTTTTGGATTATGTGATTTTAATGTTTATACTAGGTTGTTTCTAATGTTTTTTAAAATGTTGAAATGTTGTTTAAGTCTGTTTAATATTTAATGGTTTCAATTATTTAATTTATAGTTACATGTCAGTGTTTAGTTATTATGGTTTTTTCTGTCCACATGCCTTCACAGGGCCTTCTCAGCGGTGACCCCCTTGGCTATGGAACGCCCTCCCTAGGGATATCAGATCGGCCCCCTCCCTCCTAACATTTAGAAAGAGAGTTAAAACCTGGCTCTTTGAGCAGGCATTTGCAGACGCAGTGTAATAGACTGAGATCCACAGAATGTTTGGACGATGTAACGGAAAAATGATTTTAGTGATGAGATGCTGAGGACTTGTGCTTTATGGTTTTTATTGTTTTATTGCTTTTTATATGGTTTATATTATATGTAATGTTTTTAACTGTATTTTATGTTGTTTGGGGGCATTGACTGCTGACTGTAAACCGCCTCGAGTCGCCTCTGGGTTCAGAGGGGCGGTATACAAATATAGTAAATAAATAAATAAACAAACAAACATGCATGTTGGCTTTGGATTTTTGCCATTAGTATGTTGTAAATCGCCTTGAGTCCCCCCTGGGGTGAGAAAGGCAGTATATAAATATACTACTGTATATACTCGAGTATAAGCTGACCCGAATATAAGCCGAGGTACCTAATTTTACCACAAAAAACTGAGAAAACGGATTGACTCAAATATAAGCCGAGGGTGAGAAATGTAGCAGCTACTGGTAAATTGCAAAATAAAAATAGATACCAATTAAATTACATTAATTGAGGAATCAGTAGGTTATATATTTTTGAATATTTACAAAAATGGCAATTTAAAATAAGACTGTCCAATTCTGATTAAATGATTATTTATATTCTTCAATGTAAATGTGCTTACGTATCCTTTCAATAATAATAAAGAGTAACATGATAAATGTAATAATAACAACAACAATAAAAAGAGTAAAATAATGAATGTAGCAATAACAACTATACAGTAAAATAACAAATGTATAATAATAGAGTAAAATGATAAATGTAATAATAATAAATAGAATAAAATAATAAATGTAATGAAAATAATAATAACAATAATAATAGTAAAATAATAAATAACCAATAAAAATGACTCGAGTATAAGCCGAGGGAGACATTTTCAGCCTAAAAAAGGGGCTGAAAAGCTAGGCTTATACTCAAGTATATACTAGGCCTGTGCGGTTTCGTTCGTTAATTTCGTTATTCGTAAAACATTCGTTAATTTTAGCATTTACGAAGCGATATCAAAACATTTTTTCAAACCCGGAAGGGTTTTAAAATAACAAAGCGGCATCCCCCATCCTTTTAATGAGCTTCCGCCCGTTTCGGAAATTGGATGGAGGATGCTGCTGGTGCCTGGGAGCCAATCCGGCGCTCCCAAGCAGTGCACCGTGGCTGTTTGTTTTTGATTGGCCGGCGAGCCCTTTCAAAGCGGCTCCGCGCGGCCGTAGCTCATTGCTGCAGAGGGCGAGGGAGAGAGAAGAGGTTGGCTTGGCAATGGCTAGCAACTGGATTGGATTCATTCCTTGCTTGGATTCATTCCTTGCTGCTGTGAGTGCTGCTTATATTCCTTGCTTGGATTCATTACTTCCTTCGGTTTTTGTGAATTTGTTTCTTAATTTTTTGGTTAATTTTCCATTTTTAAATATTTTTTAATATTATTTTTAATATTATTTTTAATATTATTTTAATATTATTCTTAAAAAATATTCTAAAAAAGAAAAGACTCTTCTGTTGGTGTGTGCTCTCATTTGCTGTCTCCTGCCTGTGTTTGGTCTACATTTGGGCCATTTTTTGGTTAATTTTCCATTTTAATTTTTTAATATTATTTTAATATTATTCTTAAAAAATATTCTAAAAAAGAAAAGACTCTTCTGTTGGTGTGTGCTCTCATTTGCTGTCTCCTGCCTGTAGTTTGGTCCACATTTGGGCCATTTTTTGGTTAATTTTCCATTTTAAAATATTTTTTAATATTATTTTAATATTATTTTTTAATATTATTTTAATATTATTCTTAAAAAATATTCTAAAAAAGAAAAGACTCTTCTGTTGGTGTTTTCTCTCATTTTCTGTCTCCTGCCTGTGTTTGGTCCACATTTGGGCCATTTTTTGGTTAATTTTCCATTTTAAAATATTTTTAATATTATTTTTTAATATTATTTTAATATTATTTTAATATTATTCTTAAAAATATTCTAAAAAAGAAAAGACTCTTCTGTTGGTGTGTGCTCTCATTTGCTGTCTCCTGCCTGTGTTTGGTCCCCATTTGGGCCATTTTTTGGTTAATTTTCCATTTTAAAATATTTTTAATATTATTTTAATATTATTCTTAAAAAATACAAAAAAATATTCTAAAAATTCGTTAATATTTACGAAATTTCGTAAATACCAAAACTTTTTTTGGGAAAGTTTTGTAATTATTTTAAATATCGAAAGAAAAAAACACCCCAATTACAAATCGATTTTAGAACCAAATTTTTTCTTGATCAACCAGGCCTAGTATATACAGTACATAAATAAATAGTGCTGGAATGAGTCATCAGCTCCAATCTACTCAACGCAGGATCTCCAGCATGAGCATCCCCAGGAGATAACCATCCAGACTCTTTCTGAAGACATTCAAAGGAGCCCTCACCAGGTTTACAAGCAATTGGATCCATCTCACTGTTAAGAAGTTTCTTCTGATGTTGCATCAGAACGTACCTTCTAAATAATACCCTTCTTAATGACAGAAGCACTTTGCATATTATTTATAGTGTGAAATACTGTCAAATATAAAAGAAAAGCAGCACAACGTCAAAGATTTTGGAGAAATAAGACAAGGGGCAAGCAATTTGATGACAAGCGTTTTTATTTTGCAAAACAATCACTATACAGCAACAAATACAATTGCAAGTTGGATTGAAAAACATGAACTACCTACCACCAGCCATTCAAGAAATGCCTCTTTTTATGGTAACAGGCTCTAGAATTATCAGGAAAAGAAATAACCCCACAGGCGTTGTTATGGCCTAACGTGTTTCTCAGAGGAAAAGGAAAGAGGAAAAGGGGGAAAAAATCCCAGTGCACAGAAGATGTTTTAATTTTCTTTGCTAAAGTTGAAATGGCTGCCAGCCCTGTCCTAACCAGAGCATTAAATAGTTATGCTATTTATTTGGGAAATTTACAGGAATGTGCTTGATTACTCTACCAGCAATGAACAAAATCTAACACAACCCACATTAACCCTGTATAAGTTGTGACCCAATTGAACTGATTCTGTAAACATGTCGCTCTTCTTGGGGCTCAACATCATCCCTGTTTTTCCAGTTCTAGTAGAGCAGCAAAGCCATGATGCTTAGAGTGTATTCAGCCTTGCAATTCAAGAATGACAGCCTGAAATTTCTGGCCTGTTTTAGGCTGGACATCTGATCTGCTGCTTAATTTAGCATCTCTAAGGCAATGTGTACTTGGAAGGGAATCACAGAAAAGTCCCTTGCCTGCTTACATGACATGATAGCCCACACAGATTAGGCAGACATAGATATTTGCAAGTAACCTTAAAGGGAAGAGGTTTCTAATGCCTAACTATCTATGCATGATGTCCCAGGGAATGGGGAATATCACATAATTTACATTTTGGACTACTGCTGGTGAATAAAAGTCAATCTTTTATTTAGTTCCCTCATGCCTAGAATTGCACAGAAGTAAATCTACATAAAGAGAGAAAAATAGAGAAGCCCTATCTTCCAAAGGGGTTCAATTTATTTTTGACTGAAACATTTGCACCGGGCTATTTTTATTCATCTACGTGCACCTTAGTTAATTTTACTTAAACTTAGAAAATAGCTGCTGTTCCAGAATTCAATAATATTGGCAAAGATGTAAGAAGTGGTCACAATTTTCTCTTTCCATTTCGCATTCTGCCTATCCAAAGTTGATGTTAAACTTAAAATCTTCCCTAGTCTTACGTCTGGGTCATCTTTACATCTGATAAACATTGCATGCATTTTTGTCTCAACAAGTGCAAGATGAAATGTGAATTGAATTCTTTTTTTTTTATTTGAGCATTGGTTCAAAAGTGCAAAACTAGGTGATGTATTAAAATGTCAACTAAGTAAATTTTGCCTTATCCTTATTTTATTTATTTATTTCCTATATTTATATCCTGCCCTTCTCACCCCTGAAGGGGGACTCAGGGCGGCCTGACAAAAGCATCATCCTTAGCTTTCTTTAAATGGGCAAAGTATACAAAGAATACTTTCTGTCAATTAGTTTACACCAGGGGTCCTCAAACTAAGGCCCGGGGGCCGGATGCGGCCCTCCAAGGTCATTTACCTGGCCCTCGGCTCAGGTTCATCCTAAGTCTGAAATGACTTGAAAGCACACAACAACAATAATCAACGTTGGCAGTCTTTAGGAAGAACTTGAAGACCTGCCTGTTCCAATGTGCCTTCCCAGAATAGGAAACTCCAGCAACATGTCCCAAAAACACTTTATTAGAGTAGAGATTGCCTGCACACTGCACTTACCCTAAAATCCGATATACCACCTGTCACATCAGCACTTTTAACCTGTACCCATTACATTTGGCCCAGCCCTAGTTTTATTGTGTTTTGGTATATTGTTTTTATTGTTTTGTTGTTGATATTGCTTTAATTGTTTTTGATTTGCTTTAAGTTGTGTATTTGTTATGCTATGTTTTATTGAGGCCTTGGCTTTTGTAAGCCGCATCGCGTCCTTCGGGAGATGCTAGCGGGGTACAAATAAAGATAATAATAATAATAATAATAATAATCCTATCGCATCAGCCAAAAGAAGGTCCACACTTCCCATTGAAATACTAATAAGTTTATATTTGTTAAAATTGTTCTTCATTTTAATTATTGTATTGTTTTTAAGTGTGTTTTGCACTACAAATAAGACATGTGCCATGTGCATAAGAATTCATGTTTTTTTTCAAATTATAATCCGGCCCTCCAACAGTTTGAGGGACCGTGACCTGGCCCTCTATTTTAAAAGTTTGAGGACTCCTGGTTTACACTAATGCTCTTGTCTGGATCACATTGAGTTCAGCAGGGCATCCATGTGAGATCTTCTGATTGAATCATTTCACTTAGCTTTTACATTAAACCTACACTCAAGAAATTAATATTGTTTAATGCTTTCCTGATATACAATGTCCATTCCCACTCCCCACTCCCACCCCAGTCAAAATCTAGAGTCCTGTAACATAGAGTGTACATTTCTTATATCAGAGCCTGGGCCTCTTGCTGGCTCTTCAACTTGCGTGACTTCATCCAGTTCTGCAATTTGTTCTATGGAAGGACGATTATCGATCACAAGGACTGAGCTTTCAGATGGGAAATATAAATTTGCAGCATGGAATTAATGACTTGGCAGCTTTGGACATGTATACTCAATAAATAACTTCACCACCTAGAATGTGTATATATCCCAAAAAAGCAGAATACAAAATAGTCACAGATTACACTGTCCTGACTGGCTGACACTCAGCACCAGCCCACATGAGGTTCAGTAGTACCTTGGGCACTATCTTGCTCTAAGAATGGGGGGAGAGACATAAAAACATTGAGAGGCTAACCTGCAAAACCAACAGCATAGAGTCCAAGTGACTATATGGCACTAAAAATCAGACTCTTTTGCATTTTGTTTTTCCTGAAACAAGGAGTTCTGTGACATGGACCTTTGGGCTGACCCAACAGGGTTCTTTTTAATATATAGATGTGTGTGTGTGTTTGTATATTGTATGATTATTCTAAGTAACATCACAGCAATCACAGGGTAGAAAAATCCTCCTGACGCACTTTAAATTCTAAACTAGCTTTTTTCTTAACTATACGACTGCATTATAGACTTTACAAGGCATCTTATAATATGCAACGGCTTTTAAGATGTAATGTGTCAGAATGTTGAGACTAGTTCATCCCCAGATCCTTGAAGAAGTTCTACAACTCACTCTATTGAAATTTTACTTGTTCCTATCCATTTACAAGGGACAGCCTATAGCACTTTGGAAACTATTTTTGAAATTAGGTTCTGATTTTAAAATGTACAGAATTGCATACCTTTGTGGAAGAATTCTGGAATACTCCTCAGAGTCAGAAATGTCCTTCTAATACGAACAACAATAGCAATCCGATCTGTACATCTAAGGAAAGCTTTCTTCCATGATAAATTTGGTGTCAAAAAGACTTATGGTGTCAAAAAGACTCTTGGGTGGTGTGTTTGTTCTTTAAAATGCGTTTAAGCCTCAATCTTAGAAATAACAAAGTTAAATAAAGATGCTTAAGAGCTAGCCCTTTTGAAATAGCTTCCTGCACACATAGACATCCTAATGAGCCATTCATGTACAGCTCAGCTTGAGATCATGCAAACATAATGTAGGTGATTTCCTAAGGAAAAGAGCAATCAATCTGCAGGTTGAAATTTAATTATCATCTAGCCAAAGCTAGTGTATATATCATGAGTAGACAAGTGTCCACTTATATGTCATATTACCATACCATCTTCTTCTTAAAATGTCCAAGTAGGTAGTGGTAGAAATCCCATAGACTCCAGTTTTTTATTATTTCAGTGTCCCTGGGTGTTTTTCTTATTATACACACTTTTCGTATACTTTTTATATTTGACATAGTCTGTCTGCAGATCTATTTATCACTTCCATCACTTCAGTGATGCTATATAGGGAGCTTATTTAATTATGTTACCAGCAATCAGCATATGTTATGCATGCATCTCTCCAGTTTTCTATACGAGGCATCTAAATACAGCTAGGCAAAGATGCCGTGAAAAGAACAGAATGGAAAACTTCTGTCAAAACTCCCCCTTGTTTGTTGGAATTTCAACTTTAGCAAAAGAATTTTTATTTTTAAAAATCTTTAAGCTTCATTCCTACAACAGGATTTTTTCTTTAAAAGCCAGAACAAAGCCATTATTTCAACATTTGATTTTTTTTTTCAATATCTGTACCCCAAAACCATCCTTCTGGAGATCATTGTTTACAAATACCTGGACACCATAAAGTCGGTCATAGCGGGGAGAGGTGAATGAGAAACGGGAGAAAGGAAGAATTTTTCTAGTATCACAGAAGAGACTTGCATCTGGCACTAAAACAGGGTCACAGTTTTGAGATGTTACAGAAAGCAATTTCATGCTAAAAGATCTTTGTCTTTTAATTTTTTTAAAAGTCTGACTAGGGAAATAAAAACCCTGCTAACATCTACTTTTACATACCTAAAATTGCAACACCAAAGGGTGCAAGAAACACAGATACTGTGAATAAAGAAGTAGAATATTCAAGTATGAGAGGGCGTATCACAAATGGCCACAGAGAAATATATATCTATAATAATACTGTATCAAACAGATGGAAAGGATGTGAAACCAGTAGTGTAGACACAAACCTAGCTGCTTAACCAACATTCCAATCAGACACAGTTCCATTGCTTAGTTTCAATAGCTGCTTTTTAAAAAAGAAAAAAAAAGTCAGTTCCCCAATACAGTTCATACGATTTCCCCGCACTTCAGTTCATATGATTTCCCTCAAACTACTTTCTTTTAACTATTAGTTAAATAATTTATTGGAATCAGCTATACACTGACATAATTATCCAAGTTCAATGACATTAATAACTTAATTGAGTCTTTCCTCTACACATTTATATAAAATAACCCCACCCGTGCGTACCCTCTTGAAGCTGGGACTTCTTTAGTGGCCTTTCTGTCTGGGAATCAAGACTCTCCAGTTTAATTTAACCTGTTAATAGATTACAAGGGGAGATGTTCCTTAATTCCATCCATCAACCAACGAGTAAAATGAGCAACTGAAGGTATTTAACAAGGCTCTTCAAAAAGTGGTGGATGGCCTTCAGGCACATGAAAGGTAAAAATGCATTGTATCATAGTACAGTACTCCATGCAAGACAGAGCAGAGCAACAATAATTGTCCAATGTAATATACTGCAATTGTACCCACATTAAAGCCAGTGTCTTCCTGCTGAAAATGGAAATCAGGCCAATTTCTGCTTCTATAAATATCTTTTCCCCAGGTTTTATTTTATTTTACGGTTACTACAGTCTTGGGATGAGACTTAATTTTAGACATGGTAAAGAATGAATGTTAACACCTGCTCAGAGCCCATTCCTGGCAAGAGCTCATGCCTAAATATTATTACTTCAAACACTGCAAAATGAAGCAAATTCATAAGCCCTGTTTAGCTAGGGCCGCAGTGACATCTTCAGCGAGGGTAGCAAGCTGAGGAGATTCAAGCAGGTTGATGCTGCCAGAGGAGGAGACATTGCTGAGCCTCCGTGGAGAAGCCACACTGGATCGACCTGGGGACTGCGTGATGATCTCTGCTCCATGGTCCACACGTGCCTTAGCATGCTCTCGGAAATTCAGCTTCTGGCTGTCAATCTGTGTAAAGAAAGGAGGCTGATAAAAACATGATGCAATTGGTATGAGGGATACTCATATGAGGTATACATTGCACCTATCCAAAATCCTTATATATCACTCGGCACACTCAGAACTTTTTAATCTGTACCCATTACATTTGCCCGGCCTAGTTTTATTGTATCACGGTGTGTTGTTTTATTGTTTACGGTTATTGCTTTATGTTTTTTGATTTGCTTTGGTTTATATGTGTGCAGAAGTCATTGATACCATGTATGTGTTTAACTGTTAGAGTATATATTTGTGTTTGTAACAGTAGCTAAAACTAGAGTTATCTGGTTTGAATCCACAGTGAGTGTTGCCAAGGAGACCAGGCAGGCTAGCTCAGGAGAGTGAGGAGTGGGCGGAGCCAAGCAGGAAAAGTTATAGGCGTCTTTTAAAAAAAGGCAGAGAGTGTGTGGGAGAGTGGAGGCTTGAAAAGCCTGGGAAAGAGGTGTGTGTGAGCAGCAGCTGGAGGTTTTTCAGTCTAGAAGGGCTGAAGAGAGAAACCTGGCCAGTTTCTTTAGTCAAGAAAGACTAAAGGAAGCCTGTTAAGATCCCTAGTCAGGGAAGGACTAGAGATCAGAGATTTGATCAAGGAAAGATCAAATTGGAAGGCTAGTTATAGTGGGAAACATTGTTCACTAAAGAGCTTCACCTCAGTAAAAGTTGGCCACGAGCTGTGTTATTTGAAAGAGTGAACTATATTAAAACCAAGTGATATTCAAAGTTCTATAAGTTATTTTAACAGCCTGCAACCATACGCTTTGTACACAATAAACTTGTTATCTTTTGTTAAAAACCATCTCATCTCATCTAACCTGCGTCTGTAGAGCCAGATCTCATTGGTGATACCTCAAATACCTCACGTTGGTGGCAGTTACCTTAATTTACAACTAATAATTGGCCTCCTCTATAATATATTCTTATACACAATTGAGGCCTGAGATTAATTCCCTCCATAATCATCCACATCTGCACTATTGGTTTGCGCATCTTCTCAATTGGTGGTAGCGGTGGGATTAAAAGGTGCCTGAGGTAAAATACGTCCATTGTTAGACCCTGCCATTGCCAACCTCAGCAACGCACCTTTGTACAATTGGCTAGCGTCTTCTCAATATGTAATTGTTATATTGCTATTTTCTCCAGCAAAGGATCACCGCCTTGTCGGGGCGCTGGAGCTTGAGCACCTCAATGATGTCATGAGCGAAACCGTGAAGGGCCACCCAAGACGGGACGGTTGTGGCAGAGAGGTCAGACCAAGCGTGATCCCTGGGGAAGGCAATGGCAAACCACTCCCGTATCCTTGCCAAGAAAACTAAATGGACCAGTACAACCAGAGATATGTCGGTATGCCATTGGAAGATGGGACTCCCAGGTCGGAAGATGGCCAAAATGCTACTGGGGAGGAGCAGAGGATAAGTTCAACTAGCCCCAGATGTGATGACGCAGCTAGCTCAAAGCCGAAAGGAAGGCTAGCGGCCGACGGTACTGGAGGTGAACGACGAATCCGATGCTCTAAAGATCAACACACCATAGGAACCTGGAATGTAAGATCTATGAGCCAGGGCAAATTGGATGTTGTTATTGGCAAGATGTCAAGACTAAAGATAGACATTCTGGGGGTCAGCGAACTGAAGTGGACTGGAATGGGCCACTTCACATCAGATGACCACCAGATCTACTACTGCGGACAAGAGGAACATCGAAGAAATGGAGTAGCCTTCATAATTAATAAGAAATTCGCTAAAGCGGTGCTTGGGTACAACCCAAAAAATGACAGAATGATCTCAATTCGAGTGCAAGGAAAGCCTTTCAACATCACAGTGATCCAAATATATGCCCCAACCACAGCTGCTGAAGAAGCAGAAGTAGATCAGTTCTATGAGGATCTGCAGGACCTACTGGATAATACACCAAAAAGAGACATTATTTTCATTACAGGAGACTGGAATGCCAAGGTGGGAAGTCAAATGACAACAGGGATCACAGGAAAGCATGGTCTGGGAGAACAAAATGAAGCGGGACGCAGGCTGATAGAATTTTGCCAGGAAAACTCGCTGTGTATAACGAATACTCTCTTCCAACAACCTAAAAGACGGCTTTACACATGGACCTCACCAGACGGTCAACACCGAAATCAGATTGACTACATCCTTTGCAGCCAAAGGTGGCGGACATCCATCCAGTAGGTGAAAACAAGACCTGGGGCTGACTGTAGCTCAGATCACGAACTTCTTATTGCCCAATTTAGAATAAAACTAAAGAGATCAGGGAAAATACACAGACCAGTTAGATATGATCTCACTAACATTCCTAGCGAATATACAGTGGAAGTGAAGAACAGATTTGAAGGACTAGATTTAGTAAACAGAGTCCCAGAAGAACTATGGACAGAAGTCCGAGACATTGTTCAGGAGGCGGCAACAAAGTACGTCCCAAAGAAAAAGAAAACCAAGAAGGCAAAATGGTTGTCTGCTGAGACACTGGAAGTAGCCCAAGAAAGGAGGAAAGCAAAAAGAAACAGGGATAAGGGGAGATATGCCCAGTTAAATGCGCAATTCCAGAGGTTAGCCAGAAGAGATAAGGAACTATTTTTAAATAAGCAATGCATGGAAGTGGAAGAAGACAACAGAATAGGAAGGACAAGAGACCTCTTCCAGAAAATTAGAAACATTGGAGGTAAATTTCAGGCAAAAATTGGTATGATAAGAAACAAAGATGGCAGGGACCTTACAGAAGCTGAAGAGATCAAGAGAAGGTGGCGAGACTATACAGAAGATCTGTATAGGAAGGATAATAATATTGAGGATAGTTTTGACGGTGTGGTGAATGAATTAGAACCAGACATCCTGAGGAGTGAGGTTGAATGGGCCTTAAGAAGCATTGCTAACAACAAGGCAGCAGGAGATGACGGGATCCCAGCTGAACTGTTTAAAATCTTAAAAGATGATGCTGTCAAGGTGATGCATGCCATTTGCCAGCAAATATGGAAAACACAAGTATGGCCATCAGACTGGAAAAAATCAACTTATATCCCCATACCAAAAAAGGGAAATGCGAAAGACTGCTCAAACTTCCGTACAGTGGCCCTTATTTCTCATGCCAGTAAGGTAATGCTCAAGATCCTGCAAGGAAGACTCCAGCAATACATGGAGCGAGAGTTGGCAGATGTTCAAGCTGGGTTTAGAAAAGGTAGAGGAACGAGAGACCAAATTGCCAATATCCGCTGGATAATGGAGAAAGGCAGGGAGTGTCAGAAAAACATCTACTTCTGCTTCATTGACTATTCTAAAGCCTTTGACTGTGTGGATCATAATAAATTTTGGCAAGTTCTTGGTGGGATGGGGCATCCCAAGCCACCTTGTCTCTCTCCTGAGGAATCTGTACAAGGACCAAGTAGCAACAGTCAGAACTGACCACGGAACAACAGACTGGTTCAAGATTGGGAAAGGCGTACGGCAAGGCTGCATCCTCTCACCCAACCTTTTTAACTTGTATGCAGAACACATCATGCGATGTGCGGGGCTGGATGAATGCAGAGCTGGGGTGAAAATTGCTGGAAGAAACATTAACAACCTCAGATATGCAGATGACACCACTCTGATGGCCGAAAGCGAGGAGGAGCTGAGGAGCCTTCTAATCAAGGTGAAAGAAGAAAGTGCAAAAGCCGGGTTGCAGCTAAACGTCAAAAAAACCAAGATTATGGCAACAAGAATGATTGACAACTGGAAAATAGAGGGAGAAACCGTGGAGGCCGTGACAGACTTTGTATTTCTAGGTGCAAAGATTACTGCAGATGCAGACTGTAGCCGGGAAATCAGAAGACGCTTACTTCTTGGGAGGAGAGCAATGTCCAGTCTCGATAAAATAGTAAAGAGTAGAGACATCAGACTGGCAACAAAGATCCGCCTAGTCAAAGCCATGGTATTCCCTGTAGTAACCTACGGATGTGAGAGCTGGACCTTAGGGAAGGCGGAGCGAAGGAAGATGCTTTTGAACTGTGGTGTTGGAGGAAAGTTCTGAGAGTGCCTTGGACTGCGAGAAGATCCAACCAGTCCATCCTCCAGGAAATAAAGCCCGACTGCTCACTGGAGGGAAGGATACTAGAGACAAAGTTGAAGTACTTTGGCCACATCATGAGAAGAAAGGAAAGCCTAGAGAAGACAATTATGCTGGGGAAAGTGGAAGGCAAAAGGAAGAGGGGCCGACCAAGGGCAAGATGGATGGATGGCATCCTTGAAGTGACTGGACTGACCTTGAGGGAGCTGGGGGTGGTAACGGCCGACAGGAAGCTCTGGCGTGGGCTGGTCCATGAGGTCACGAAGAGTCGGAGACGACTGAACGAATGAACAACAACAACATATTGCCATTTTATTGTTGGCCTTGGCCTTTGTAAGCCGCATCGAGTCCTTCGGGAGATGCTAGTGGGGTACAAATAAAGTTAATAATAATAATAATAATAATAATAATAATAATAATAATACTCCCGTTAGAAACTGCACTTTTAGAACTTTATCACACCAGATCAGGGAATAGGGATTCAGCCTTTGCTGGATGGGTCTACACTCCTTCTGAAGACACAGTTCTGCAGTTTGGGGGTCCTCCTGGACTTGGCACTGCAACAGGTTTCTGTGATGGTCAGGAGTGCCTTTACACAAATAAAACTTGTGTGCCAACTGTGCCTGTTCCTTGAGAAGCCAGATCTGGCCAAGGTGGTATATGCTTTAGTTACATCCTGTCTGAATTACTGGAAAACACTCTACGTGGGACTGCCTCTGAAGAGTGCTCAGAAACTTCAGCTGGTCCAAAGAGCTGCAGTCAGATTGCTCCCTGGGGCTGGCTACAGGGAGCATACAACCCTGCTGTTGGAGCAGCTCCACTAGCTGCCAGTCTGTTTCCAGGCATAATTCAAAGTGCTGGTTATGACCTGTAAAGCCCTAAACAACTGTTGGGCTATTTGGCTGACTGCATCCCCTTGTACGAACCTGCCTGGGCCCTGAGATCTTCAGGAGAGGACCTTCTCTCAGTCCCACCTCCATCTCAAGCTTGGTTGGTGGGAATGAGAGAGTGGGCCTTCCTTCTTGGTGGCTGCTCCTTGACTCTGAACTCCCTTCTTCCCAGGGAAGCCAGAATGGCCCCCTCCCTGTTGTCTTTCCGGCAGCAGCCTAAAGCCTTTTTTCAGACAAGTTTTTAAAGAAGAAAGTTTTAAAGACTAAGTCAGGGGATGCTGTGTTTTATATAGTTTAATAGATTTGTTTAATGGTTTCATTGGTTTTAATGATGTATATCAGGGGTCCTCAAACTAAGGCCTGGGGGCCAGATACGGCCCTCCAAGGGCATTTACCTGGCCCTTGCTCAGGGTCAACCTAAGTCTGAAACTACTTGAAAGCACGCAACAACAACAACAATCGTATCTCATCAGCCAAAAGCAAGTCCACACTTCCTACTGAAATACTAATAAGTTTATATTTGTTTAAATTGTTCTTAATTTGAATTATTGTATTGTTTTTAAGTGGGTTTTTTTGCATTACAAATAAGATATGTGCAGTGTGCATAGGAATCCATTCATGTTTTTTCAAATTATAATCCGGCCCTCCAACAGTTTGAGGGACTGTGACCTGGCCCTCTGTTTAAAAAGTTTGAGGACCCCTGATGTATATTAATAGTCCTATATTTAATTCTATTTTAATGTTTATATGTGTTAGATTTTAATTCAAACATTGTTATGGTTTTTAATGTTGGCTAATTTGAGAAAAAGAGGGGTATACATACTAATACTAATAACCAATAAACTTGAATGGTACATCATGAAAAGAAAGCAAATCAGCACCATGTGGTAAGCATTGGCAAGACTACAGTTACCCTGTTGCAGTTTCAGTTTGCAAGCATCATGTGATATTGTCCTTACTTAGTGTCTTTAGAAAGTGCCAGAAAAGTTGCCAGACCAGGATCCTTAAATCTGATTCATTCATATTTGTTCTACATTCCAAAGCGGATTGGAGGTGTGTGTGAACTGACTACCTTCATGGGATATTATGATAAATCATTTACAAAATAATTTTATCTTCTCTCTGATTTCCTGCAGATGTTAGCACAAGAAGGGTCTGTTGAACGAACTTGGAAGTTTCCCTTTAGATAAAAATTCAATAGAGATTCAGAAAATTGTGTCATAAAGTTCATTGTTCATACTAGTATGCCTAAAATAGTTTATTTTCAACCCGATTTCTCCAGATGTTTTGGACTACATCACTTTTACTGAACCAGCATAGCCATTGTCTATCCTATCTGGGAATTATGTGAGTTGAAATCCAGCATATCTGGAAAGTACCAGTTTGGGGCAGTACAGTGTTTCCTCACTACTTCGTGGTTCGCTTTCCGTGGACTCGCTGTTTTGTGTTTTTTAAAAAACAAAAATGAATTTAAAATATACAAGTAGCGAGGGAACACTGTATACCCATTGTTTCTCCAATGTAGATGTTGCCTCCTCCTCCTCTTCCTCCTCCTCCTTCCCTGATGAGGCCTTGCTCGTCCCACATTTCCCTACAGCACCTCAGAGAAGAGGAAGAGTAGGAGGAGGAGGCCTTCTTGCCGGACTCCTACGTGTCGCCCCAGGCCCGAGTTTAGGCGTTCAGGTCAAGCAGGCTTTCCTGCTGCTGCTGCTACTGTCATAGTGACACTGGGCCTGAGCGAGGAGCAGGGCAAGGCAGCCATTGCCCTGTCTTGGTGACGACTGCTGCCGCTGCCCCTGCCCCACCTCTGGAGGAGCCTGGCTTGGAAGAAGAAGGCCATGAGTGAAGGAAAGAGCACATGGGGGTGGGGAGGGAGGGAGGGAGGGAGAGAGGAGGGGGGGGGGGACCAGCGTGCAGGGAAAGTAAGGCGGAAGAAGCATCAAGCTTGAGATTGTAATTATATATATATACTGTGTGTGTATGTGTATGTTTGTGTATATATATATATATAGAGAGAGCATCCCTACTTTGTGGATTTTCACTTATTGCGGGTGGTCCTGGAACATAACACCCGCGATAAGTGAGGGAACACTGTATAGTCTAGGGAGATAGAAATAATACATAAATTAAAAAGCAAGAGTAGCTATGTTTCCCCCCCTGACATATTATTTTCTTTCTGCAATGAAAATTTATATTAGGACCAACTAAATTGTGATAAAATATGTCTGAATTTAATCTGCTGAGAACCTGAATTCTTCTGTTTGACTCTTCTATGTTAGCACTGGAAATCATTAGAAGTGATGCTATGAGGCTGTTCATCTCCAGAGTAGTTGAAGCTATTAGATGTGATAACTGACTCTTTTCGACTATGTTTCTCTACCTAATTCACAGTGGATTTTGTTAGCTTTGCTGACTGATCGCAAAAGCATTTCCTCTCAGCAAATTGCAGCAACTTCCATGGCATTTTCTAAGCAGTAATCATGAAATCAATAACAATAAATGGCTGAGAAAGAAAACTGAAGGGCATGGTGAGGAGAGCCAAATGAGAAAAATGAAAGGTTGCATGAGTGGGTGGAGTGACAGAAACATCAACCAGAAAAAAAGAGTGGAAGAGAAGAGAAAAGAAAGAGTGGGGTAGGGAAGGAAAATGGTTTCAAAGGTGACAGTGGAGAGTAAGAGGTTTCTAACCACAATGAAGCTTGTATTGTTGCTAGTAAATATTAATTGGGATGAAAATAACAAGCTATCTAATATATCCCATGGACTTCAACAGCAACAATATTTATTTATCTAACTTCCTTATGATCCAATGCAGTGCATTCACAAGATCATGCAATGAATATGTCAATATGGATGTAGTTTTAGAAATGGCCATGGCTATGGCTTACCTTGATGTGACCTCCTCCAGGTACATGGTGAGCATTTTCAAGCGAACCAACCTTGGCATGGGCCTTTTCTTTAAAATCCAGTTTCACACTCTCGATTTTCACTCGTCCCCCACCTGTATGTCACGGAGGCAAAAAAAATAAATAAATGACAGTGACAAAAAAGGCCAAAAATCATTTACAGTATATCTGTAATATTTTGTGAAGCAGTTTTTATTTTGTATTTAATAATCACGAGTGGAGTCTCTGTTATCATAGTGAGTATCAGATAAATAGTTGTGAAAATCTTTTAGTTAGAATCAGAGCAAAATGTAAAAGCATACATGAAGTCAAATCTAGTTACACCAATGTGGAATTTCCCTATCAATAAAATGGCAGTAGCTTTGAACAGAAATGTAAAAATACTTGGAAGCAGATCCTAATAAAACCCAAGGCATATATATATGCCAACTCCATAGGGGACTCAATGCGTCTTACATATATAGGCAGCAATTCAATGCCAAAAACACACATAATAAGAACGTATACATTAAAACAATAATTAAAACATATAGGTCTCTATAATTCAATTCATAAATAAGGGGAGTAGTATTAGAAAGATATTTATAAGCAAATATGGTTGCTTTCCATATACGCTTTTTAGGATATTTTTAAGGATTAACTAGTATTTTACAAAGACATCTATACCCCAAAGATATATAGTTAAAACGCTTCTCTCTGTTTAACACAGAATGGCAGGAAATGCTCAGAAAAACTATTCTCCTGTCTCTAGTTTTTAAACTGCTCTGGGCTCTTACTATCCGTTGGGGTTCAGCTCCAGGACATGCATACACAGGTACCAAAATCCTCAGATGTCCAAGTCTTATTATATATAATGATGGAGTAAAATGATACCCCTTGGAAAAAAAATTGGAAAAATCGAAGCTTGTTTAGGGAACTCTCTTCTTTTTTTTCTTTTTTTTTTTTTGGGGGGGGGGTGTATTTTCAAATCATAGGTGGTAGAATCCATGGATACAGAATCCGTGGATATGGAGAGCCTACTGTACTGCAGTACCGGAATTGTTCATCCTATTTTTTAAAAAACTGGAAAGCTTGTATCCATGAGCTCCTTTTACAATATATATTAGGCCTGTCCGGTTTCGTTCGTTAATTCGTTAGTAATTCGTTATTTTAGGCATTTTTGAAGCGATATCAAAACACATTTCCAAACCCGGAAGGGTTTTAAAATATCGAACCAGCAACCCCCATAGATTTAACGAGCTTCCGCTCGTTTCGTTAATGGGGTGGAGGCTGCTGGAGTGCTGGTGCTAGTGGGAGCCAATCCGGCGCTCCCAAGCAGTGCACTGTGGGTCCGTGGCTGTTTGTTTTTGATTGGCCGGCGAGCCCTTTCAAAGCGGCTCCGCGCGGCGCGGCCCGGCTCATTGCTGCAGAGGGCGAGGGAGTTTGCATTGGCTTGGCTTGGCTAATGGCTAGCAACTGGATTGGATTCATTCCTTGCTGCTGTGAGTGCTGCTTGCTTCATTTGCTTTGTCCTGCCTGTGTTTGGTCCACATTTGGGCCATTTTTTGGTTAATTTTCCATTTTAAAATATTTTTTAATATTATTTTAATATTATTTTTTAATATTATTTTAATATTATTCTTTAAAAATATTCTAAAAAAGAAAAGACTCTTCTGTTGGTGTGTGCTCTCATTTGCTGTCTCCTGCCTGTGTTTGGTCCACATTTGGGCCATTTTTTGGTTAATTTTCCATTTTTAAATATTTTTTAATATTATTTTAATATTATTCTTAAAAAATACAAAAAATATTCTAAAAATTCGTTAATATTTACAAAATTTTGTAAAATATTTTTTAATATTATTTTAATATTATTCTTAAAAAATAAAAAAAATATTCTAAAAATTCGTTAATATTTACAAAATTTCGTAAATACCAAAACTTTTTTTGGAAAGTTTTGTAAATATTTTAAATATCGAAACAAAAAAACACCCCAATTACAAATCGATTTTAGAAACAAATTTTTTCTTGATCAAACAGGCCTATATGTATATACATGTGCTGTGACTGTGAGTTTATTTTTTGTCAGAAATTATTTACAACTAATAACTGCACTGCAATATGCATGCAACTATTATAATGATTTTACATTGTTCTAAAAACTTAATTTACCATTCTATGAGGGCTGAATGCAAAGTAATGCCTCCACCTTCGTTACTTGGGTTTGGATGGGAATATTTTAATAAATCAAACGCAGAAATAATCTTTAGAATGTGCTCTTTAACTACCACTATTCACTCTTCCACATAATCAGCAGATAATTGGATACATTTCTGCCAATGATGAACAAGTTTTCTGAAGCCGTCACAGAAGAAGTCGACACTCTCTTTCTGCAACCCATTGTGCACCGATCTTCCAATAGCCAAGCAAAGCAATAATTTGACCCACACGTTCTTGTGAAATGCCGATTGTGCTTGAAATTTTTCTCTGAGTGATATGACGATCATCCTGAATCAATCTGTCAACCTTTTGCTTGTGAAACTTGGTGGTTCCTGTCACAGGACGTCCAACTCTTTGTTTGTCACACAAGTCAGATGTTCCCACCTCAACATCTTTAAACTTACTTGCCCAATGATGCACAGTACTCACATCAACACAATCACCATAAACAGCTTGCATTCTCTGATGAATCTCCTTTGGGGTGACACCTTCTGCTGCCAAGAATTCAATGACTGCACGTTGCTTAAGTCGCATTGAACGACTGTCTGCACAGGGCTCCATACTTTGCACTTTAACAACACAACCATTCAATGCTAAGGCTTCCCGCCAAAATGGAACGGTAGAGGAGAGTCTACTGAACAAGCCAATACCTGTCACATACCAGTACTGCCATCTGTTGAGAAGTTATGAAGGTGGAGGCATTAATTTTCGTTCAACCCTCGTATAGTTTATCATGGCATTGTGGGGTACCACTGATACTTATGATAATTATGGAATCAGAAACCCTGGAAACAATGTATTCACTACACTGTTTACAGAATATCACACAGAGACATCAACTGAGTTCAACAATACCTGGCCTATGGCGGATATTCTTCAGTGAACCACATTTGGAAGTCACATGGCTCAGGTCTATCTTCTTGGTTACAATCTGAATCTGTTAAAATTAGAAAAGATATCTCATAAGCAAGGCAACAAAGAAGGAGAAATGGGATGTGCCCAGATTTTGCAAAATACTGCAAGAGAAGAGATGGTTAGAAGAATACAATCATGCCACAAAGGAGGGAAACACCCAGATTAATACAGCAAGCTCCCCATTTGGACAGTGAATTTAGCAGAACCAAGTTAAAGCCTGTTCATTAGTAAAGTGAAGACTGTAAATAAGGAAAATGAATGAGGTTATTTTCTGAGATAAAAGAAAGTTGGCTTCGGTGTGTTGTACTGAGATTTAGGATTACTTTTCACCTATACTATGTTGCATATTATTTCCAGGATAATCTGCCTTTTGCAATTTATTGGATTTCTATTTCTGAACTTACCATGAAGTAGTTTCATCAAGTAGTTTGGAATCAAATTACCCGAATGACTAAGCAGCAGCACATAGTGTGGCTCTTGGCTCACTAGCTGCCTCTGGTTCAACACAATCATTATGAAGGAAACCTTTATTATACAGGGGTAGCGAGGAAAAGCTGCATTCACCTAGCCTTATTTATGTTCTTTCCAGTAGCTACTACTACAACTTGGTGAGGAGGTAATAGCAAAGTACATATTGCCAACAGTATCTCCAAGTCACCAAAACTTAATCTGGAAGATTCATCCAGCAAATGTATTCATGTCGTTAGCACTCTTAACGATGTTAGGGTTGATGTATTTTTCTGCTTTGAATAATTCTGGATTCAATTAGATCCAATGTTTGTTTTCACTTCCTTTCTGGAACGTAATGCTTTGATAGGCCAGGTGCAAGTGTGTGTCTCTTCTAACTAAGACCAGGGGTTTGCTGTGGTTTGTGAGGAAAGATGGAGAGACCCACTACTCACCACACAATGCTGACACATAACTAGACCAAGGTGACTTGTGAAACATTAGCAGGAAGGGAAGTAGTGCTCAGGAGGGAAACAAAGGGCTAGGTGATGCAGAGCGGGGTCACCATAGGTAGCTAGGGTACCTTGCTTAGCACCATATCTACTTACATTTCCTCCCCCTGCTGCATGTGTGAGGTTATCCTTGGAACCACATCTGGATTGAACATCGCTAAAATCAATCTTCTTGCTTAAAATCCTAACCTAAAAGGAATCGGAGGTTAAGATACTATCAAAAGTGGTCTTTTGCTATGCCCCATTCCAAATGGCTCTGCCTGCTGCAGTTGAGGGAGGATTATGATCATTCATGACACTTACAAAGCAGACTCTCTCATTATAGGTTTTTTGCCCTTTTCTTTTCTATCTTGTGTCAGTGACAGACACAGAAGGAAGATTTCAAATAGTAATGACAGAATTACAAACAAAGGAAATACTTATTGTTAATATTTATGCTCCTAGCAATGCAAAAGCTCCTTTCTTCAAAAATATTTTTGGAAAGTGATGGAAGATATTGAGTATATGCATGTGATTTTGCTGGGTGACTGCAACTGTGTTGTGGATTTTAATATGGATAAAACACTATAAAGCCTATTTAAGAGAATCAAGGAAAATTATCAAAAACCTCCAAGAATATGATAGAATAACTTTCAGACATAAACACCAGAAGCAAAGGAATATTCCTCCTTCTCTGATAGACACAAGTCATACTCAGGAATTGATATGATTTGAATCACTAAGAATTTAGTAAATCCTATTTGAAAAGCTCAAATTCATTTAAAGATTATTTATACCACTGCCCAACAAGAAAATAAATCAAAATCCTGATAAAATAATTCATAAAAAATCGTGATAAAATAATATAGAGGAGATATGATAGCTATGTATAAATATGTGAGAGGAAGCCACAGGGAGGAGGGAGCAAGCTTGTTTTCTGCTTCCCTGGAGACTAGGATGCAAAACAATGGCTTCAAACTACAAGAAAGGAGATTCCATCTGAACATGAGGAAGAACTTCCTGACTGTGAGAGCTGTTCAGCAGTGGAACTCTCTGCCCCAGAGTGTGGCGGAGGCTCCTTTTTTGGAGGCTTTTAAACAGAGGCTAGATGGCCATCTGTCAGGGATGATTTGAATGCAATATTCCTACTTTTTGGCAGGGGGCTGGACTGGATGGCCCATGAGGTCTCTTCCAACTCTTTGATTCTATGATTCTATGAATGAAGGTCTATTGAAAAATGAAGAAAAGCTTGATAAATGTAAGAAAAAGATTAAAGAATTCTTCCAAATAAATACACATCCAGAAATACTTCCAAGAATTTTATGGGACACAAGTAAAGCCTACATGAGAGTAAGATTGATCAAACTATATTAAATACATAGAAAGGAAAGACAACAAAAATGAATGAATTAAAGAAGAGGATTGAAGAAAAAGAAAAACAATTTTAAAAAGATTTAACAAATACAAAACTCTGACAAGAGCTGAAACAACTTTGCCAACAAAGCTCAACGGTGCATCAAATGGAAAAGTCTGTAAATTTGCAAAAATATTTTGAATATGTAAATAAACCAGGGAAAAGGCTGGTTTAAATTTAGAAGTGAGATGCAAAAGAAAAATATTAGTACGATAAAAATGAATGGACAAGAAATAAACGGAGAACAAAACATAAAACAAACATTACAAAAATACTATCAAAAACTTTACAAGAAAAAGAACTATCACAAGAACAAATGCACAAATATCTTCAAAAGCAAAACCTTAAAACCAAATAACAATGCACAAAGTAACAATGGTGATCAAGGGTTTGAAATTAGATAAGGCACCAGGACCAGATAGCTTCACTGTAATCTATTATAAAGCACTAGCAGATAAAATTGCTCTACCCCTCCACAAAGTTTTGATTGAGATACTTAAACAAAAGCAGATACCAGAGATGTGGCTAGAATAAAACATTACATTAATCCCAAAAGAAGATCAGGCTCCCTTACAAGTCCAGAACTACAGACTTATTTCATTGCTGAATACCAATTATAAATGATTTGCTACAATACTGGCGAACAGACTAAAGAATATACTAATGGGATGGATATATGAAGATCAAACAGACTTCTTACTTGGAAGGCAAATTAGAGACAATACAAGAGAGATACTCAATTTGATAGAATACTTCTATAAACAATGAAAAACAAGGTGCTCTCCTGTTCTTAGATGCAGAAAAGCATTTGACAATCTAAGCTGGGAATTTATGAAAGAAGTGCTCAAGACGATTAAATGTGGACAAAATTTCTTGAGTGGGGTGGAGGCAATATATACTAAGCAGTACGCAAAGTACAAATAATGGTGATCTGACTGAAAGAGTTTAAATCCAGAAAGTTGTGAGACAAGGATCTCCATTATCACCACTACTATTTATAATGGCAGTAGAAGTCTTGACAAGAAAAATATAACAAAATCAAAGTTGAGGCACTTTGCAAATGATGTAGTGACCAGCGACAGAAGAACCCATAGAGACAATGCCTAAAATATTGGAAATTATGGAAGACTTCGGAAAAGTGGTTGGACTTACAATTAACAAAAAAACCCCAACAAATATAATGATTAAGAATCCCCAGCAGCAGGATCCAAGAATTTTGGGGGGAAAAAAGGCCAGTTGAGATAGTCAACAAAGTCAAGTATCTGTGAAACAATATGACTATGAAAAATCTGGACCAATATTAAAAAACAACTATGAAAAAAGATGAAATAGAATTTTAAAAGATTTAAAACGATGGTCCCAGCTAGAACTTTCTTTGCTGGGAAGAATATCTAAAATTATTATTAAGAATGTCTGCAATTAAAATGATTGTTCTCCCTAAGATTATGTTTCTTTTCCAAACAATACCATTATTATTAAATGTTACATGCTTCAAACAATGGAACAAAGATGTTAGCAAATATATTTGGAAAGGCAAAAAGTTAAGATGAAATCATTGCAAGATGCTAAAGACAGAGGAGGGTATGGCTCTATCAAACTTTATGCTATGCTACAAAGCTGCAGCTCCAGTTTGGATGAAAGAATAGATAACTCTAGATGATAAAATACTACAGATATTAGAATGACATGATTTAAGATATGGATGGCATGGATACTCATTTGACTCTAATTTATAAACCATCTGCTAAAAATACTCTATACAGAGTATGGAAAAAAATACAAATCAAGACTCTTCTTAAAAATACCGTTGTGGACATCTACCAAAGAAGCCTTCCATCGGACAGAGATAAGGGGGAAACCAATGGCCCACCAATAGAAATGTATTAATTGGACAACAAAGTGAAGCTCATCTAAAAAATCTAAGCCAGGGGTCCTCAAACTAAGGCCCGGGGGCCGGATACGGCCCTCCAAGGTCATTTACCCGGCCCTCGCTCAGGGTCAACCGAAGTCTGAAATGACTTGAAAGCACACAACAACAGCAGCAACAACAACAATCCTATCTCATCAGCCAAAAACAGGCCCACACTTCCCACTGAAATACTAATACGTTTATAGTTGTTGAACTTGTTCTTCATTTTAATTATTGTATTGTTTTTAAGTGTTTTTTGCACTACAAATAAGATATGTGCAGTGTGCATAGGGATTCATTCATGGTTTTTTTTTTTTTTCAAATTATCATCCGGCCCTCCAACAGTTTGAGGGACTGTGACCTGGCCCTCTGTTTAAGAAGTTTGAAGATCCCTAATCTAAGCCAACTACAAGAAGAGGGCATACAATTTTCATGGTTTCCGTATAGACAACAACAAGAAAGATACAAAATGGATAAGAATATAGGCATCAACTGGAAAGGTAATGAAATAGATAATATTTTCTTCCAGTCCAGGGAAAAATAAATTGCATCCATTCACGCTTGTTGTTTCGATCACACCCATTTTTATCTCAGAGAGGAGTCTTGGCTCCAGGAGAAACCATCAATGAAGGAGGAGGCAGCTTGCCTCAGGAAGTAAGAGCCAGTGCCTGCAGTGATGGGGAAAATAGACCTTAACATTTGGGAATTGTGGTTGCTGGGATTTATAGTTCACCTACAAAGATGATTTTGAACCCCACCAACAATAGAATTGGGCTAAACTTCCCACACAGAACCCCCATGGACAACAGAAAAGATTGTTTTCTGATGGTCTTTGGTGACCCCTCTGACACCCCCTCATGACCCTACCAGGGGTCCTGACCCCCAGGTTGAGAAACACTGGATACTATAATACTTCACAATAACTATGTTAAGTTGTGGGATGAACTGAAGAAGAATAAGCAAAAGTGAGAGACTGTGTATATGTCTCCATGGGAGAGAAGCCCAGTATTAAAAATGAATGTGTTACTTAGAATGCTGTTTGTGTTCCTGACAGTACTGATTACTTCAAAAGATTTATTTTTCAAACAATGGGAGAAATATACATAAATTTATCTTCCAAAGGAAGAAACCAAGTGGAGATTAGAATGTTGCAAGACATGAAACAATGAGGATTGGGTTTACCCTGTTCTTTAGTGTGGTTAAGGAAGCGGATATTGCTGAGGAATGTTCAAAAAACATACACAGCAATCAGCTTAAACCCTTGTGCCAGCAGGACTGAAGACCGACAGGTCACAGGTTTGAATCCGGGGAGAGCACGGATGAGCTCCCTCTATCAGCTCCAGCTCTCCGTGCGGGGACATGAGAGAAGCCTCTCACAAGGCTGGTAACACCTCAAAAAACATCCTGGCATCCCCTGGGCAACATCCTCTCACACCAGAAGCGACTTGCAGTTTCTCAAGTCGCTCCTGACACGACAAAAAAAAAATATATCCACAGAACAGAATAGTGAACTGCCATACTCTATCTTATGAGATCCTGAAATCTGTAGTTTATTGAAGCACAGGAACTCTTATAGAGAAGGGCAAATATCTCACTAAACTACAAATCCAAGAATTCCATAGCACTGAGCCATGGCAGTTAATGTGGAGTCAAACAGTTATAATTCTGCTGTGTGGATACACCCCAGGTGAGGCTTCCCTGGTGCAATAGTCCTGCTTCATCCACTGAATTTTATAGGGTTCTAGATATAATCATTTTCCACTTGTAACCCTCTTGCATTTTTACACTACTGCTTCTATTTTTAATGAAACTTTCAGTCTTCTTTTTTACTACAAAAAAAACCATCAAAGAGGGAAATATGAAATATCTGCACATTGTCATTCGTTT